TATTTAACACAGTTCCATTGCATTTATGATCCATAATTTGGTGAAAACCAACAAACACTCCATAAGAACACAGAATTTATTATGATCTTTCCTAAATAATTTTCTGCATTCTTAAATTTTTTTAGCAATTACCATTTAACACCCTACTGGTACAATTCAAGTTAACAAAATACAACTGAAATAACTCACAAGAAAGAGGATGGATATTTAGAGTAGCACTGTTGTGCAGTGAATTAAGCACAACATAAACTCCCATAAATACCTTTACATTTAGATTAAAATTAAGACTTTCATTCATAGGGCAATGAGCTGAAAGTGGCTCAGTCGCAAAAAAGAGTTGGGGAAAGCTTGGTTTAAATTGCATCAATCTGAAGTTTGAAGTTTGGCGAATCACTTCCTGTCACTGTCACTCCTTTCCTTTTCCCACCCCTCGCTTGGCCATTGGTTTGTCACTTCTGGAAGGCAGCAATGTCTCTCTGTGCTCCTGCAGCACAAAGCACAGCTGTGCTCCAAACACACACAGACCTTGAGGCACATCCAAAACGCAACATGGAAAAATCCATTGTGCTCCTGACAGGGCCGTGTGCTGCCACCCTGCCCCATGCCTGCTCCACGCTGGAGAAATCCTCTGGAAAACCACAGGACTATTTGCAGAACAGGGCACTATTCAGAATGAGTGAACGTGACAGAATTCCTCCAATTATTTACTTTTCATCAACACCTGAAAGCCTACAAGAAACAGAAAGTCCTCTGACAGGCACCCCCTGGATGAATGCATGCAGGGAGGGTCCACCATAAAGAACCAGACCTGTTTTGCCCCCATGGTACCCATAAGGATTCATTCATTCCCTGTTCCCCTTCTATCCTAGCACAAAATGGAATGTATTGACACCAGGTAAATTCTCTCCCAACCACAGAATCCCAGTGCTGCACCAGTTCAGTCTGCAGCAAAGCCCTTGGCTTCTACTTGACTTTCATGCTTGATTGTATGGAGCCAGATCAACCCCAAGGGGAGGTGGAAGTAGAGGTGAGAGCAGCAGCAGTAATAAGAGGGATAGTTCATGACTCCCAAATACATTTTTAGCAAAGCTGCCATGAGCAATGGCTCCACAGAGCAGCTGCTGCCAGAGGAGGCTGTGAGTCAGACCTAGTTTTTGACCAGAGATCTAAATCAGAATGGCCCCAGGAAATAATTCTTGAATTTCTATCCAAATTACAGAATTGGATGGATTCCTCAGTCATAGTTGGATCTGTAAATCAACTATGTCCTGTGAAATGTTAAGGGAAAAAAAATAAGCCAACAAACAGAAATTCTCAATGGTTGGCTCAGTATATTTCCAACCTAGAAGTGTATTACATGTCAGTGCTTGTGAAGTAAAGTCCAAACACTCCTCTTGACATGACAGGATCACTACCTTTTCTTTTGTCAAAGATGGACAAGATTAAGACCCAATTTTGTAAAACTGCAGGTCCTCTAACTCAGAGCTGACACCTTTGAGAGCTGTCCCAAAGTTAGGCTTTGGTGGCATTGGGCTGACATGAAGCATGACTGCAGAAGCAAGTTCTTCCCCTGAACCACTCAGAGGTGATTCCCACCTCGTCTGTGTGACTTGATGACATCTTCCAACAGTAATTCAGTCACAGGCATCTAACCTCAATAACCTCAAGAGGAATGTGGATGGGACATGCCCTTCACACAACACAGAACTGAAATTTGAGCTTTTAAGCAGCTAACAAGGACCTTGAGGATGAGAATTTCTCCTGAGAGAGCATGGACACAGTAAGATCAAGAGAATACAAGAAGTTCAAGTGAGGAACTGCACTATAAAGAGTTTCGCTTCACTGGGCAGCTGGGAAGAACTGAAACAAAACAAGGAGTTCTCCCTCTCACTGTGTGAAAAACAGGTAGGGTGTGTACCTGACTTCAGTGACTGTGAGGGCAAAACAACTCATTTGGTACAGTGACAACATTGAGAGCAATCTTATGGAAGAGGAGTGTATAATATGATAAAGTCATTGATTCACCTTTGCTCCTAAAGATATTCAAGTTTCACAGAAGGAATCTTTGCCTGATTTTTTGTAACCACTTTCTGAAGGTCAAAAGCCATCATGCAACAAAGCACAGGATTTGAAAAAATGTAAAGGCAACCCAGAACTCTCTCAAGCTCTGAATCAGATCAGAGGAAAAAGGAGGTGAACAACAGTGCCAAACCACTGACCTTGCACATCATCCCACTTGTCCAACTGCACACTTGCCCTGCCTGGTTTTGATTAGTTGCTTCTTTATTTTCACCACTAGCAGCTATCATTTATAGAAAAAACATCCCATAGGCAGCCATCAAGGACACCTTTCAAAGAGCCAAACAAACCCAATGTATGTACAATTTGCATGCCAAATGAATTTTACCCAGCATAAAAGCAATGTAAAGCATGATATAGTATCAGTTTTGCACCGCTTACAGGCCAGGGGCTTGCACTTGTCAAGGAAAACCCAAGGAGTGATTTATTACTGTTTGACCCTGATCATCTGCTAGTGTAATTCCACTTGAATCAATAGAGCTAAATGAGCATGAAAACAGAGCAGAGCAGGCAGGCACCAGCCCCCATGTGTTCAAAGATCATCAGCCACGCTCATTGCCCACAAATCCAGCAAACACTCTTGTGCATCAAAGGGGTTTCCTTTGGAAACAGCAGCTGTATTTAGAGATATTTGAAAAAACTCTTCCCTGTGAGGGTGCCGAGGCCCCAGCACAGGCTGTCCAGAGAAGCTGGGGCTGCCATATCCCTGGATGTGTTCAAGGCCAGGTTGGCCATGGTTTGGTGCAGGCTGGTCAAGTTATCCCTGCCCATGGCAGGGAAGAATGGGATGAGCTCCAAGGTCCCTTTCAAGCCCATTCTGATTTGCCTGTCTGTTTTCTGCTGGACTTGAGTTCATCTTTCACACATTTATAGTTTGACACCTCTGTATATAATTTCCATCTTCCAGGTGGGAAAGTAAAACCAAAAGAGTAAAGGTGCTTATCTACCACAGCCATGCTGAAATCACTGGGAATTTGTACAATTTTACAGGTATTTGGACACCTAATGACTTAATTCAGGACTCAGTGGACAAGAATGTGGGTCTTCCAACTCCTACACATGGACCCAGCCCCAGGAGTGGCTCACTCAAATGATTCTTTGGACTTGGAGCACAGCAGCTGATGGCAGAACAAGCAGCAAGCACAAGAGCTCTGCCAACAAAATTTCTGGAAATACCAAGTCATTCATTAATTGATATCATAAAATGTTTTGCCTAAGCTGCAGCTCTCAGTGATATTTACACAACATCCACCCTCCCCTCCTGCAGATCTCAGCAGGATCAATGCTTTTACAAGATGAAATGAGAGGCTGTGTATGAAAAATGCCTGAGGGTGGGAACAGTTTCCTTTTCAACACCGTTTTCTCATGAACGAGAAATCTACAGGAACCAGACAAGGATTCCTAATTCCTATATGCCTCTATTTATGTTGCAAGAACAAAAGCAAGTGTGACTGACAACTGTTTTCTGGTAAAGGCCAGTAATTATCAGCAACAGCAGGTAAATACACTCAGTTGCCTTTTGCTGTTCCCATGTTCTTATCACTAGGCCAATATTAAACTAATTTTCCCGTCGTTAACCCATTACTTCTACGAGCCATGCTTACTAGAAAAGTTTACAAACAAAACAAAAAACCAATAGTTACTGCTCAAATTCTTTACAAGAAATATTGCAAGCCCTCTTCCATAGTACTTAGAAATGTCTAGATATTCCAATCAAGTTATATGCCCACGTAATTGAAAAAATAGGTAAAAACATTAGAGATGACAGAAAAATGCCACACTAGAATGCTACTTTTATTTTCTTTTTTTTTCTCCTTTTTGCACAGGTCCATCCTGGATACAAGGTCACAGAGGGGCTGAGAAAACATTCTCATCGCAGCTATATGTAAAACATCCTTCCATTCTGTCCCTGAAAGATTACCCACCATTCTGCAGATTAAAGATATGTCTATATATTCTTTTCCTCTGTTGACAGAATTATCATTCTAATGCTATACTTAGAAAAAGGTGGTGATTTCCAGGGCTCTGCTCCCACACAGCACCTCAACACATGCTTAGTGTTTAGTGGGACTATTTATAAATGTATAAGTTCTGCAAGAGTATTTTTGCACTTTCCAAAATAGACTAACAGTTTGGAAGTGAAATATAATGCTCTGATGCTCCCTTTGTACTTTGCTTAGTCATTTTATACCTGTTCTGTGAGTATTTGTAGTGCTTAGAATCCTTCTTCTATGCTCACACATCCAGGAGATAAAAAGAGTTCAAGGCAAAGAAGGAAATCACATCTCAACTATCCATTTTACAGAGCTGGTGATGTGCAAATAAATCGGCTTTGAACATTCACTGTAGCAGGCTCAGAGGTCCCTAAATTACCAGCTGCAATAGAGAACTAACACAAAGCTATTAATTCTACCAGTCTTGAAGGACAACAGGTTGAAACCCGCATTCCCCAACACCAAACAAGACAAACCCCCTACTTCTTATTAAAATAACCTTTTTACAGAGTCCCCTTGGCCATATCTGGCTGAGAAGCACAAAAAATGTGAATCAAGATCAAAAAAATTCTCTCAATCAGCCTCAGTGCTGCAGTTCCTCTGTTTATTTCAGGCTTTACACAGTGCTGCTGGACTCTTCCCTAAGCAAGCTTTTGGCTAACAGAGCCTTAAGCACAGATGGGTCTCTGACCTTCTTTAGCAGGGATTCTCCTGCAGGCATTGCTGTCTGATTTTATAACATTTGATTCAAACGGTTCAGCAACTTGGCCAGGGCACATAACCCACTTCTTTAATGCTTGGTTCATTAGCACAGCTCATGTTTATTAACTACAAATAAATCTCACTTAACATTGAACTCCACTACCACTAATTAGCTGTCTTAAATAGCAATTCATTGTGAATAATAAATAAAAAAGGATGGGTTACCGATTTCCTCTCCTGTTTCAGCTCCTGCACATAGCGTGTTAACTCTGCAGTGATCAGAGAGGTCATGTTCTCTGAGATGACCTCGTGCTGTCCAGCATAGTCATTCATTTCATTTAAAGTGGCTAGGAAGGCTCTAGTTGATGTGTACCTGCAAAGGATAGAAATGCATTTTGCTTTTAGTCCTTTTCTTTTCAGACAGACTGCAAAGGGAGGTGGGACCCTCCTTAGGCACTTAGCATTGCAATGAATTAGCACAGATTCATTGGAAGGAATTTCTCTAAAGGAAGCCTGTCCCACACTGACAGTTGTCTGATAAGTCTATCTCAATTCAGACAGTTTGACACTGGCTCTTAAAATATCACCACTTTAGAGTGCCAGGTTCTTTATCAGCACAGCTCTGGGGCTCCAGTTTTCTAATCTCTACTCACCAAACATTTCTAGTAATACTCTCTCAAGTCCTACAATTCAGTGCACAGAGTCGTCAGTATATCCTACCTGGAAAAATCCTGTCTAAGCAAGCAAAATTTTGGCCAGCATAGCCTAGAAAAGAAAGTTTTTCATAGTGTAAATTTTATTTAAATCAGATATAGCTTATAAAGTTTAAATCAGATATAGTTTATAAAGTTTTCAAATAAGTAGAGTTTACTAACCAGGTGTTCATTGTCAACCCATATTTTTTTAGTACCTTCCATCACGAGGTTTATTTTTTCATATCAAATAATCTCCCATACAGCATTCCATGTAATTACTGAAAGGAAGAAACATCTGTGCACACAAATTTTGAAACAGCAGATTATGTCACTGGTATATTCAGCCCAGTGCCAACAGAGCTGCATTTAAATACCTCAGCTGGCTGTGCTGGGCAGCTGGAAGCCAGCAGCAAAACACTACTACATACTAGAAAAACTATTGTTGTTTTTATTATTATTCTAATTCTAAAATAGTAGTGGTCTACACTGATAACATCACCTAAAGGTGACAAATCAAAGCAAACATGAAGATATTTAGAGGAAATAGAATGGAGTGGTACCAGTAGAGATGAAAAAGGCATCAGATGAAAATAAAAGCAAGAGAAACTGAAAAGGGGACTAAAAGGGACTAAAAACGTTACAAGCAGAAATATCCAAAGTCAAGACGTGAAATGAGAGAAAACCCAGTTGCAAAAAAAAATCCCAATGTTTAAAAGGCACAGAACTAGAGACTGACAATGAGCTTGAAAAAGCTGATTTTTAGCCAGGTTGTCTCCAAGCAGCATCTGAGGCACCAAAGGTCACATGACAAATCCCCAGACATTGTTTTGAGACATGAAGTAACTACACTGAGGTGAACACTGTCTTTATAAAGGGCAAAGGATGCACAGGATCTTCTGTGCCACATCACATAGAATCATTCAACTCCAATATCCTTTTTCAGCAATGAAGGATGTGCCAAAATCCTTTGTAGTAAATTCAAAATACCCATTTATGGTAGAGTTATCCAAAGGCAGATTTATTCCTAATCTTGGGTACAGACCAAAACAGCCACTGTGCTGGTAACATAATCTTCCTTGTGTAAATACCAATATCTCAGGAAACAATGGCATAAATAACTGATTCCTAAACAATGTTACTAAATCTAAATTAAAAAGCAAGCAAAAAGGCTGTTATCTCTGTTACACAAGCCACTAGAGTAGCTGTGTAGAGCAGCTTGGGGGGGTTGACCCAAAAAATCTGTATTAATATAATCATCTAATTGAACCCATATCCAAACTCTTTTGAAACATGTCGAATTTCAAGGTCAAGGGTTTGAGGCTGCTGCTGGGCTCTCCAGAGGCAGAGCAGCCTCCTGAAACACCAGGCTGGGGGCCAGCCCCTGCCATGCCTTCCTTCAGAGCTGCATTACAAAACCCTGACATTGAGAAACTCGAGGGTCACAGCGCTCTAAGGGGAAAGGTTCTTGCTCTGCTTTAGAGTCTGGTGGGAAGCTCATCTTCTAGAAAATTCTCCTTAAAGAGTATCTTTATTCTCCCCAGGGGCAGAAGTGTTCTTAGGGACCTGTGGTGTCTCCTCTCCTGGACCTTGTTGCTCAGAGGAGGAGCTGAGTTCTCTGCTGCTGCCTGCAAGCACAATATCAATCCCCAGCCATGGGGACAGGTCAGAGCAGGTGAATCACAAGCAGACAGGTGAGGCTGTGCCACATCCTGCAACAGCAGCAAGCCCCGGATGCTGGGAGTACAACCCTCATCCTCCACCCTGCTCTGCAGGAACCACTGCGCTGTCAGAACATTACCCCTTTTGTGAGTTACTAATCTGTGTTGTCAGCCTGTTTGAGTAATTTAATACTTACAGAGTGCTTGAGTTTCATGCTAAAATTAACAACTGTTTCTGCTCCTGCTGAAAGCAGATATGAATTTGGTAGTTTACTTCAGAGAACCAGGATCAGTCTGGCTTGAAGGTTTTAAGGCACATTAAAAACAAATGAAATCAAAACCCCAACCCACACATCCAGAAAACTGCAACATAAGGGAACTAAGTAGTTACAGATCAAATCCACTCCTTAGTATCTACCCCATAAGCCTGTTTCTGCATCTGTGATGTCTATATTCTTACACTTGACTTTGAAATCTTGGATTTACAAGCCAAATCCTAGGTGATGACCCAAACTTTGCCATTCCTCCTTCAATGCGTGCTCACCCAGCAGGAGAACATGAACATACCTGTATTCTTCCTCCTCTTTGGAGTTCTTCTTGGGTTGGTATTTCTTTGAAAGATTCCTAAAATTAAAAATACAGATATATAAAATAAAATTTTAAAATATCCTTTGAAGCTTACTGATGATCTTCAGATGCACACACATTTTGTGAGGCTGGAGTTTTTATCTGCAGTGAGCAGACACCTTTCCTGAAGCATAACTACATTCAGGCTTTGACTGTGCAGCAGTAAGACTCTAAGAATGGGCTGCACAGTGCTCCAGTCTCTAACTACAACAAAGCAGCAGATTCTGAACCCAAGAAGTTGCTAAATTAAGGTCGTGAAGTTGATACACCTGGGTTGTGGTTCTGCTGATGCACAGATCTCCTCCACCTGATCTAGAGGAGAGGTTCTTTTGGAGCAGGAGTCATCCCAGGAAAGGGAGATCTGAAGCAGCAGATGACACTCTTGGCTAGGCAGGTTTGCCTCCCTTTAGCAGGATGATTAGAAGGCAAAAAAAAACCTTCATAAAGCTGTGGGAAGCTGCACTGAGATAGCAAAAGGGGGTTCATTTTGTGATTATCAACTAATGCTGGGGGAAGTGTGACATTTGATTATCCTAATTAGCACAGATGATTGCATCTCATTATCCCCCAGCCAACTACTGATTTAATTTTAAAACACCAATATGCTCTTGGAGTGACTGTATCTTAAATAAGAAACCTGAACCTTGCTGTGAGCACATCTGACAGTAATTGTATGGTTTTGATTGCCCCACAAGCCTCTCATCAGCAGCAAATGCAGGGATTTGGGAAGGTGTGCTGCCCACCTGCCCCTCAGTGCACCTTGCTGGTATCAGCACCACGATGCACACTGCACTGCAGCACAGCACACCCTTCAATCAGTGCACAGCACAGAGCTGACCAATTTTAAGGGCTTTTCAGTGCTCCTCTGTCCTAAACTGAGCCCCATTACTCTCTTCTCTCTGACAGCCTCTCACCCTGCTGAGAAAGGGAAGCCATTTGGTTTAGTTGTACAAAGTTGTTTCAGTGATGAAGAGCAGCACACAGGGAATATTGATGGAATCATTGTCCGAAGGAGGACTGAGTTTTATCAACTTATCCATGCCAAACTCTTTGGAGAAGTCCCAGAATACATCAAGTTGTAAAGAAGCTGCCTTGTCAGAGGTGTAACCCATTCCCTGCTGATGCTGGCTTTACTGCTGACTTGGGGACAGCAGGGCCTCTCATCTCACATTTCTTATTCCTTTTGTTCTCCTTGAGGAATTAAGGAGCATCTGCCCCAACAGAGTAGTAGCCAGAACGCTGGCAGATTTGCACATACAAACATGTGTTCCTCAAAATTTAAGTATCTTGACTGGAAGAGATCCAAATGAATATCTCTCTCTCTCAGTCTGTGCCTTCTCTCCAAGAATACGCTCTGAAAATATTAACTTCTCTAGTTTTGCAGCTTCCACCGAGCACCAGCATGGGAAGGGTTCTGCAAACTGTTCTGCATGATGAAAATAAATTTTACAGCACCCTTTGTATGCCTCTTTCCATGCACCAGCTTGAAGGGGAAAGAAAAACCACAAGAAAAAAAGCACAGAAGGCTACAGTAATAAGGCATTTTCACAATCAAAACTCCATCTCCCTGCACTGTCACACTGCCCAATTAATTCTGACACATACAGCAGCTGGCTTCCTGTGAATCTTTAAAGGTGCAGAAATGCTACAGAGCTGAGAGGGAAAAAAAAAAAAAAACCACAGCCTGCTTTCACAGACAAAAACCACTTACCAAGGATTAGCATCTGGGTTAAACACTTCATTATCTTCTGTGCAATTTACACAACACACAAATGGAGTCTATATATTGAAGTTCTCTCAATTTTTTTTGCTGTTTTCTGAAATCAGATGCAGGGGTCTAACCAGGTACACACAAAAACCCCCACAAGTGTATCCAAAAGTACTGCTGGAGCTCAGCATGTCCTGGTGCAGTGGCTCCACCAGCACTGCCCAGGGAGCAGTGACAGTGACACCTTCAGTGCCAACAGTGATTACAGAGGGAGCTAACACATAATAAAGATCAGCTCTGGAAAGATTCTGTGCTACTCTGAGCACCCATCTCCACCAGTGTTTCAATTTGCCTTTCACTCTGCATCATTTTTTCCACCTTTACAGCTTGTTTCTCTGCTCCCATATTTCAGCTTGGGTGACAAATGTGAGAGAAAGATGTCAGACATCAGGGGTTCTGATTCTCAGATTATCCTGACACCTGAAGCATTTTTTCCAACACATTTTCCTTGAGGCCATCTATCCATCATCACATTAGGCAAGGGTTTTGACACCCTTTGTGATGCTCTGAGTGCATGTGCTACAAGGGAAGTGACAAGGACACACCACCTCAGCACTGGGAGCACAGCATCCAGCACATCAGAGTCCCATGGAAGTTAAAATACCTAAAATAATCATTCTACTACAGTTTCTACATCCCTTCCTGCCCAGCCTAGTTTATTGATTCAATAAATGGAATGCAAAACAAGAAAATAACCAAGTCAGATCTGAAGTGGACTCCCAAACCAGGCAAATTGTAAATGGTATATAGGACTAACCTAAAATATTAAAATATACATTTGCAGAATTATAAAGAAGAAGAAAATAAATGTTTTTAATTAGAAGAAAATTTAATTTCAATAGATGACCAGACCAAGATGTAGATAGAGAAGAGCAATAGCTAGTTAGGGAACCCAGGCATGGAACAGAAAATACAAGTTTCACAGAAGGAAATAAATTTCAGGAGCTTTACTTACACTACAAACAAAATTGAGTTACATCCACAGGAGTACCTGGAGTTAACCTGTCTCTTTTTAATAATATTTTCGGCATGTTATGACATGCAGTGATGTGATGCAGTCCTTTTACACCAAATGGATGTGCTACAAAAAAGGTTTGCACCAGGCTTAAGGACGCTTATTTAATAAAAGCAGATGCATGATTTATTTTTCTTTTTTAATGTCCAGCACTGCTTTACCTCAACACTTGACATTTTTTTTTTGTTTTTTCTTTTATACTTCTAACTTCTTAGGATGCCTCCAAGCAGCCCTGTGTTTAAGAGCTCCTTGGGGACAGATGTATTTGTCCTCAAACCATAAAAATGCAGAGAGGCAGGAAACAAATAGGCCGTGGTTTTTTGGGAGGTCTAGGACCTAGAATAAGAAATTTATTTCTTTATTTGTAGAATAAGAAATAAAGCTCAGGAATTCATAGTTTCCACATGGTCACAGGTAAAACAATCTTTCACTTTCCTTAACATGTTGTTTGTGTGTTTATTTTAATAATTAAGCTCTTTACACCTGGAATTTGTCATCCTGAATACTCCAGTGAATCTGGTGCAGGATTGTTCCCAAGACAGGCCAGCTCACCCAGATACTCTGCTGGGCTTTCCCAGTCCAGTCATACTCTCTTTGTTCCAGCTCATTTTGCCTCTGTAATTCAACCTCTGCTCCTCTTGATAGGATGTGAGCAATTTGTTCCTGCACGAGTCATTTTCTATTTCCTGCTTGTCTGTAGCAGAAACCCTGGGGAACCCTCCTGGCATTCCCCTGGGAGAGCACACAACCATCAAGGCAGGGATTTATCTACTACCAGCTCCTCATAAATCACAGGCCATTGTGCATCTCCAATCCACTCAAACACAAGCGAATTCTGGGTGATATATATATTTTTATTTTTTTAATAGACACTGAGTTAGATACACAGATCAACAGCAACCTCAGATCCCATCTCTTTAGAACCTGGGAAGATGGAAAGAGAGCTCAAGATTATCACCATGCAAATAAAAGGTCAGTTTACTGGGGGAATTAGGAATAATTATTCCTGATCTCCCCTTCCCAGTTAACAGCAGGACTTCCAGTTTAGCACTGGTCACTAGTGGCTGCCAACGATGTTGTCCAGCAGGACCCCTGTGTGCTTTACTCCCTTCTAACCCCAATCACTTCTCAGTTTTTTCTACCTCACTGAGAAAAGGTGATATCTACTCCTGTGGATTCTTAGCACCTCTTTCCCAGGACCTGACCTCAAGGAAGATTTTTTCTGTGTCTGGTTCACACATACTAGTCTCTGTCTACAATCAAACCAGGCATGGACAAGTAGAAAGTACCCAGCAGCAATTATTTGAGATTAATTCACGAAGATCTCTGCTCCGATCAGGAGACACCTCAAAAGACTATAAAACTGTAATTCAAATCTCAGGCTGTCACCTTCTTAACTACATAGGAAAAATTACCAAAGGCTGGGCTGACTTTCTGACCTGCAGCTCCTTCCCATGCACATTCAAAAAAGGCCTGACTTAGTAAAAGAAAGCCTAAACTTTGCCTAACAAATGGTCATTATTCCGTTGAATTCTTAAATCCTTCAGCATTTTTGCACAGCAGCCCCAATTTCATGGAAAACATTACTGTGCTGTCCTCCAAGCCTGAGCCATTAATCATGCATAAACTGTGAGTAAGCCCTAGTGTGCTGCTCAGCCACCTCAATAACCTCTCTTTTTGCAAAACATATCATTACTGGCAGATATAATACAACGGGATCTTAAATTAACTTTTACTTTCCAATATCTAAGTTAAAGCTATTTTCTAAAAGCCATTATTATAAACAAAATCACGACTGACACAGCAAACTTAGAGTTGATTACAGGCTCTGAAGAGATGCAACTCAAAGTCCAGAATTTTACATATCAACTTACCTAAGCTGCTTTGCATAGCTGAGTTCAATCTCTGTTCTTTCTTTTACAAACTTGATGTACTTTTCCAGAACATCAATACCCCACTGCGTGTGTTTTTCTAAGTTGTCAAACTGGTCCTGCAATGAATCAAAAGAAAAAAAAAAAAGTTTAGTCTCATTGAGCACAGAGACAACTTAAAATTAATTTACAAAGGGAGTATTACCATTCAGAAAGTGTTGTTAATATTTTCCATTACCAGTTAGATACTTTTATAGTGAGACAGGTTTTTAATCAACAGAAATCTGTATTTTAACATGAGCCCAATTCAGTAACATTCTTCATTACTCATTTCTGAAGCAGTTTCATTCCAGAAATACTGGCAGCTCGATTAAATGCCATCTTCTAATAGAAAAACATACTTAAACATAGGACAAGAAATAGATACTCATTACAGTATTTTGGTTTACTCTGAAGAACTAATAGAAGTTCTATGAATTTGGAAACTACTCCTAAGTAATAATTCTGATTTTCTTGTGAAAATTGTAGATTTAAACTCCAGCTTTCCCAGTGCTTTGAATTTAAAATGTTATTCAGAATAGTTAAATATTTTTACAGAGCAGACTTCAATTCCTTTGTAGCCTGTTTTGTTCTAAAACAGATGACATGTTGCTCCCCAAAATGACATAGGCTATATTTTCTGAAAGTTTTTCTGTCTACCTCCATTTAGATACAGATACTACTTTGTTCTTCAAATATTATTGCCCTCCAAAACAGTCACACATGTTTTCAATAAAATCAAGAACATTCCACAAGTCAGTCTGGGATTTGCAAATGCCAAGAGAAATTAAGCAACTCTAAATCCAAATTAATTATCCACGCCAGTTTATTACTATCTGCAGATTTCAATTATAATCACCTTATTTTTTAAAATTTGGTTATTTCAACAGCACTCAAATTCCACAATCCATTCCACACAGCTTTGCAGAAGTTACTGTTTCTACAATACTTGAAATCTAATTTTTAAACTGCAATACATTGAATACTTATTCTGACAGACATACACTGTAAAATAAACAAGGGCTTTAATATCAGCCTAACTTATTTGGCATCAGGTTCCATTATGGTTTACAAAGGAAATAGAGAGTAAATTTGTACAATCTAGAAATTAGATTGACCACGTTTTCCAAAAAGCTACACACAGCAGCGGATTTGGGTGGGATGCTGAACTTCCACTACCAAAGATTCTGACAGAAGTGATGCTTCTCTGCAAAAGTTTGCAGAGCTGTTATTGAGATACCAAAGCCAGACAAGACCACTCCCTTTAGACAGAGCAAAAAATAACTGAAAGCTACAACAAAGCCTGGTTTGTGGATACATTGCTTATATCAAATATCACTTTCTGCTGTGTAGCACATCTGGCTGTGACACTGAGTTACAATGGTACACAATCATGTACACAGGAGCTAATAAAGAAAATAAACCTGCTCATAAAGCTGCTTAACTGTAACTTGAAGGGGAGAAATAGGAACAAAGAAAAGAAGGAGAAAAAGGAAGACAAAATCTGCAAAACACCATGAAGAAGGGAGTTAAATCAGCAGGTAAGACTCGTGGAATAGGACACACAGGGTTTGTGCATTGCGTGCTTGCTCTGCTTTAGCACCAGGCACTATTTCAAACCAAGTCAGCCCAAACCACACTAGGTTTCAACTTATGTCAGTTTTAGTCAATTAAAGAGGCACTGGGGGCAGAACAGCAAAAAGGTAATAGTATAAAGTTACAAAAATAGTAAAGAACCTCCAAGTGCTCCAGGACTAAGTGCTCCAGAAACTACAAGAAAGTGTTTAAGGGCAACTGAAGTAAAAAAAACCCTCTAACTACACAAAATAAAAGCCTTACTTTCAGCAATAGAATCACCCTTGAACCAGTGTAGCATCAGCCACTCAGAAAGAGGATGTGTGCATTCTGCAGAAAGGGAATACATGGACTAAAAATGTCCATGTTTGCGTATATACAAATCTCAATTTCAGACAGCTTCAAGGCAGGGGAGAAGGCAAAAATCAGGGGTAACAGTGGTCCTCCTGTCAGAGGGCTCAGCTCAGCCTGGAGTCTGATGCCAGCACAGAGAAGCACCTTCTGCTCTGCTTCAAATGTACAACCTCTCCATCTCTGGGATTATTCTGGAACCAGGAGAGTAATGCAAACATGGCCTTTTAAAGGTTTCTGATAAAGAGGTCTTCTAGCTCTCCCACACCCTACTCTTCCATAAATTACATTATTTAACATAAACACATGCAGATAAAATAAACACCCCATGGGGAAGTCCATTAGTAACAAGTTTACATGGATTCACACACTCCTGATTTAGCAAAGGGAAATCTCGGGCAGGGAAATTCACCCTGTATTCCCTGTAAGCAAATTTATCCACCTTTATCAGATCATATTTGTACCAAGAATCTAGCTTATTATCCTATTGTGAACCCATCCAAAGAGGAAAGGTCAAGGTTTCCCAGAGGAAAGAATGCCTTTCAAGGAGATCCTGCCCTTCAAGGCAATCCAGATTCCCAGACAGAGCAGGTTCACCCTGAAAAGGCAACCCGGGTGGTGGCTTGTCCAAACCTCCCACCATCATCCCACCCTGAATCAATTCTCAGAGCATCATTTAGATCAGAGTTTGAATAAAAGCCCAGAAATGGCTCCAGGTAGCCGCCTCAGTGTGGGCTGGCATCCCACAGAGGGACCTCTGGACTGTTTCTAAGGCCTCACTAGGCCAAGTTTGGTGAAATAAAACTCCCTGAGGAGCAGTGTAAGAGGAGCACATGGCAGTGCAGCTGTTGGACAGATCAGCCGGGGAAGATGCTGAATTTCTATTTATAAAGTGAGATGAGGCACTTGCCCTGTGCCAAGCTCTAGGCAGAGCCACCTCAAAAGTACAAGCACTGATCTCCACTATCAAGAGAAACAAGGGGAAGTTTAACTCTCTGCAGATTTGCTAAAGAGAAGAGTTTCTGTTCTTTTCTGGGCATGGAGCAGTGCTGGCCCAAGTGCCATTTCACTCAGCAGCCAACGCCCCAAAACAGTGTGTTACACTGGGGTCATGCATTCCATTGTCCCTTCCCTTTGCTGAGTGCCTTGAGGATAAAAAAAAGTCAGTAAAATTGGCAACACCATCACTGGCTGAGCATGAGATTCCAAAGGAAGGGCATTGCAGCCAGAGGGACACGACACAGATTGTCCTCCTCCTTCCATGAACCTGGAAGGACAATGAAGGTAGGCAAAAGCTCGGAGTTAATGAATCAAAGGATGACAGAGGACACAAAATGTGTTGATGGCACAGCATAACCTTCAATTCATGGAATCCCAAAGTCCAGGGATACATGTAATCAATGCAAAATAGGACTTCTGAAGTAGAGATTTTTGAGAGTGGTTAACAATATCATGCCTTCAAATAATCAATATTGGAAACATTTTATAGAAATTTATTTACTTTTCTCAAAGTTCATTACAAAAATGCCTTATCAATAGGAATCTGGAGTTAAAAAATCCCCCATCAATTATTCTGGAGTCTAATGAGAACAAAACATGTATTCAGCACAAAGTGCACCAGCCCTGGCAGAGATGGCTTAGCAGGTGAACTGTGCCACTGCAGCTCTGCAGGTTCAGTCATCAGCTGCAAGAGGGCTCAGGTGCCCCATGAGCTGCTGTTTCAGCTTTCAGTTTCAATACACAGACTCTCCTCTGTTCATTTTTGCAGCATCCTCACCCTTCCAGTCAGGGAGAACATTAGGAAACAACAACCTCCCACAGGGCTTTAGCATTCAAGAAAACAAGGCAAGAAATATGATGCAATGTTCAGTAAGAATGCTCCCACTTGGCCACAGTGAGGGAGAAACAAAAGGTCACACCACACCTGTTTTCCCAGAAAAAGAACCATCAAAACATTTTCTAGAAGAATTCACTACTTTCCTCGGGCTCAGAGACTGGTTCACACCTAAGAATGTTCTTTGAGCAGAAATACTGCACTGACAGTCAGCTGTCTATCACAGTAGGCTCCCACCACAGGCTTCATGTTACTACGTCCTTCCAACCTGCCAAATCTCATCTTCTCCCAGTTTCAAGTGCCTGTGTTTATTGTGGTATCAGCTTACTAAAAAGAATAGACTTCTAATTGCCCGTCACAGTATGCATGTAATTAAACAACTTGTGGAACTGTAACTTACCCCCCTTCATCAGATTCCACCTGCTTCCCAAAGCCAGCAACATGTGCCACTACAAACACTTCCCCAGGTGATGGAGGAGCTGGAGTACAGGAGCTGAACACCTGACTCAGGTGGGAAAGCAGAGCCCCTACTGCTCAAAATAAAAACTGTTCAGAGCTTAACATATTCTTCAACACGCACACAAAAATTGAAGTTCTGAAGAGGGAAGTAGAACTTTAGTCATTAACTTGAACAGGAATTTGACATCCGAGTATCCAGAATGCTTTGAATATTTTAACCCTAAGGCAAAGTGCGTTTCTAAATTCATTTTCCAACTTCATTTCTGTTCCCATTAATTCTCTCTCAGTGCTTTTACTGCTGCCCAAATAACCTCCCATCCATGCATTCTTTCTGAAATTTGGTTGCATGCTTGTTACCCTGACAATGCTTAAAATGGAAATAGTGCTGCCCATTTTCTTTGCTTCATTTGAATGGTTACTTTAAGCTGTCAAATCCCCTTCACTTCTCAACTGCCCTCCTGAAGTCACATTCCCCAGCTATGTGAAGTATTTTGGGAAGAGGAAAGTTAGCCATTAAGGGAAAAAAAAAAAAAAAATAAAAACCTTCTTCCCATTTCTTGACCACACAGCATGGAGTACAAACAATTATTGAGCAATAAAGTGTTATTCATGAGGTCTTTGAAGAACAGCTCAGTGAGATATTCCTTCCTCTTTCTAAAAGACTTCCATCTATTGCAAAATAGTTCAACACACGGCATTCAGATCCAATGATGGACCTTCACTTGCCACCAAGAGGCTCTTCAGCCTTAACATGGACTGAAATAAAGGGGATGTACTCATTTTTCTCTTGAGCTGCAGCCTCAGTCTCTCTGCAGCCAGACAGACTCACCCTGCTCAGTTCCAACACACAGCCAGGCCAGA